GTGTATTTTAATTAATTAAAAAAAAACTCGTGACAACATGCCACAGTTTAGGTGTCAATGGGACGCAATTGAGTTGTAAAAAGGTTTTAATATTTCAGTGGCAAATTGATATTTTCGAAACTATCAATATGCACTTTTGCGTGTCAATATGCCATTATCCATTGTCTTACACTTGGGTTAATTTTAGAGTCCAGTTGAGACTATTTTCTATTAATATATTATCGACGTCAATACGACCCCAACAAAATATTCTTAAGAATAACAAAAATTCATTTGTTTTATAATTGCAAGTTGGTTGTGCTTTCTTTTATGTTTTTGATTTAATAATTACTATCTATCTGTAAAAAAAATTACACTTTTGTTAAGTCGTTGCTCTCGTGCCATTGGAGCGGGAGTTGGGTAACGTACACCAAAAAAAAACCGTTCTCAACAGTCTCAATTTCAGTATTACCGTGCTCAATAGTACGCCAAGAATGGATTTATTAAAAGCAAGAAGACATTTTCTTAGATCAAGACTTCTTTTTATACCCTTGCAGAGGGTATTATAATTTCAGTCAGAAGTTTGCAACGCAGTGAAGGAGACGTTTCCGACCCTATAAAGTATATATATTCTTGATCAGCATCACTAGTAGAGTCGATCTAGCCATGTCCGTCTGTCCGTCTGTCCGTCTGTCCGTCTGTCCGTCTGTCCGTCTGTCAGTCTGTCCGTCTGTCCGTCCGTTTATATGCAAACTAGTCTCTCAGTTTTAAAGCTAGCTGCATGAAACTTTCCCAAAAGTTGTCTTTCTATTGCAGGTAGTATATAAGTCGGAACGAGCCGGATCGGACGACTATAGCATATAGCTCCCATAGGAACAATCGGAAAAATAATTGAAAAAAATTATAACTTTGCTGTTTTTTAATTTTTTGTTTAGTTCTTCGACATATAGCAATGGTTAAATAATTCAGAATTATGGTTTAAATTTCATCAAAATCGGACGACTATAGCATATAGCTCCCATAGGAACAATCGGAAAAACAATTGAAAAAAATTATAACTTTGCTGTTTTTTAATTTTTTGTTTAGTTCTTCGACATATAGCAATGGTTAAATATTTCAGAATTATGGTTAAAATTTCATCAAAATCGGACGACTATATCATATAGCTCCCATACAAATAATAAAAATATATAATAGAACAATCAAATAATTAAGCTGCAAATCGTCATAGCTTCAATGTTTTTAAACATATACGCAAGTAAATCATAATTTTAATGTTTTCAAAAATATTTAATTCTTGCGATAGCTGCAAGGGTATATGAACTTCGGCTTGCCGAAGTTTGCTGTCTTTCTTGTTTAAGACTGAACATACTCGATTTCCGAATAAGTCTTCTCGGATTCGAGAGTAAAACGTTCTCAAAATCACAGACTCAAGAACCTATTCGTTCTCAAAACCAAGAAAACTTATTCTCAAATCCAGAATATTCAGTCATAAAAAAGCAATCTGAGAAAATTTCTTCCTGATTTCGGTAAATCCGTTCTAAAATTGCGACTGTTTAGAACGATTTATTTCAGTAAAAATGCCAGATCCCAAAAACTTTTCTAATTTTAATTTTTTATCTACATCTAAATTCGAAATTATATAGCTAAATGTATATTAACCTTATAGTTTTCTTATCTATATTTAAAACATACATATGAAGGGGAGGTGTAACACTGCTGGCGGTGGCTTTTGTGGCAACGGCTTTGGAGACGATGATTGTGGAGATATTTCTTGAGCAAACTATATTTTTAATAAACAGCGAAAGTTAATAAGAAATTTGGAAAGGGTTTTAATAATGTCTTACCTTCGTTTTCCTCCAAGCGAACAGCTTTTCGCGGAAAAGAACTATTATTCCGACGGCGGAATCGGCTGTTTTATTTCCTCTGCAGTGACAAATTCAGGGCACTCGAAATAAACACCGGCACCTAGAAAAAAATATTTAAACAGTGTACAAATTTTTATATTCGAAACTAACTTGTCAGAAATAAAAAATGTGAAAAAATTTGAGGAGTGGCTCTGCTACAAAAAGGTATATATTTAAATTTACTTTTTAACGCGTGCTTAAGTTAAACGAAGGAATTAACACGAGCTGTGAAATAGAAATTTACCGCAAGTGGCGATACTGCAGTCCATGTATGTATGTATTTGTATCATTTGATTCTTATTCTTTTACGTCTTGCAAATTCGAACAACGTGAAGCTTATTTGATAGTTCCTATGGCAGCTATATGATATCGTTTTCCGATTTTAATGAAATTAAAAGCGTAATTCTGAACTGTCAAATTATTTATTAGTCATAAAGAATTTCTAAAAAAAAATACAAAATAAAAAAGTTAAATTAAAAAAAAAATTTTTTTTTCATATTTTTATTGTTACCATGGGAGCTTTAAGTTATAGTCGTCCGATTTTGATGAAATTTAAACCGTAATTCTGAAATATTTAACCATTACTATATCTCGAAAAACTAAAAAAAAATTAAAAAACACCAAAGTTATAATTCTTTTTATTTATTTTTCCGATTGTGCCTATGGGAGCCATATGCTACAGTCGTCCGATCCGGCTCGATCCGACTTATATACTACCTGCAATAGAAAGACAACTTTTGGAAAGTTTCATGCAGATAACTTTAAAACTGCGAGATTAGATTGCGTAGAAACGGACGGACAGACGGACATGGCTTTATCGACTCTCCTAGTGATGCTGATCAAGAATATATATACTTTATAGGGTCGTAGATGTCTCCTTCACTGCGTTTCAAACTTCTGACTGAAATTAGAATACCCTCTGCAAGGGTATAATTATTATATAAAAAATTATTTCTAAACATATGTAAATAATAATAATTATATATTTAGTTTTCATTTTATAAAATATAATTTACTTACTGTGAAAGTATCGTTGGGCCTCCAAGAAATTAAATGCGACCAATAGGTCGAACAACCGGTTATCTTATCAATCACACCACTTTTTAACTCTCAATCAATCAAAAACAAAACTTTACCTCGCGCCGCGAGGTACTTCTCTCCCAATTTGTATCTCTTTAAATTTTTCATGTTTTAGACTAATTTCTTCTCGAGTTCAAGATCGTTTATACTCGAGTTCAAGATATTTTCTTCTCGATTAGCGGATTCGGGAACAAAGAGATCGGGCAATCTAGTACAGCATACAAAAAAAAAGAAAATATAAATACGTTTTCCGCAGTGGGATTCGAACTCACTTTTTCAGAACACTAGCCAGGCACTCTACGCCCTGCGCTATTTGGTTGGAGGCGCGCACGTTATCAAGTTGTGAGCTTAACAATTACAGCTGGTTCGTATTTATCCTATTAAGTGTCAAATTAAATTTTAAGACCGCGTAGTCATCCTTTGACAAAAATCTGATACTAGGTGTAGTGTCAAAATGAATTACACTGAATAATTTGACACTCACATTTTTTTTATTAATTAAAAAAAAAAAATAAGTTTTCTCAAAACAAAACTTTTTTTCAAAATTGCAACTTCTCTGTCTAAAATCTATAAGCTACCTACATTAAATTAATCAATTTGAATCTTATTATTTTGGAATAAGTTAGTCTATTTACATATCAGTTTTGGCTTTAAGTGGGTTGCTGGGGGCACAAACGAAGGCATAGGCATAGAATTAAAAACAAGCTGTAAGTGAAACTTTCTGGAGAAGCGAGAACAAGAGTGTCCCAAATGTGTGTGAAAGTATCAGATTTCGAGAGCTCAAAAACATAATCATATATTAGGCGTTGTCTCTTTGACATTTCGCCTGCTCTTTTACATGGCAATAATCATAATTCATTTTTCTCGCTCTCTCTCTCTCTAGCTCTCCGAATCGGGGAAGGGGCGTGTCAGGGCTGTGGAAGTGGCTCGAAACTGGGGTCTGGGGCAGTTTTATGAGTTGGTAGTTCCGACCGCGTCGCCGTCCTCAGAATACATGTTTAATATTATTTATGAGGCTTACGTATCGCGCAGCAGCATAAGGTACATGCACACTTTGAAAGGGCGTTTTTGGGGACAGAAGCCGAGTGAAAGATCGGTCGGGAGGCACAGTCGCAAAGACTCGTGTAGCGACAAGATGTGCGACATGGGGATGTGACAAAAATCTCGGTGTCACATCCCAAATAATTTTTAACAAAACGAAAACACAGATGCACAACGGGAGTCGGAAGGGGAACGGGAATAGGAATATGAGATAGGAGGGGCAATAGGAATGGGATGAAAATGGCTTTTTGAAATGCGCATCGTATGAATATGATAAATTCGTATAGAATTGAAATTGGCTTGGTGTTTGCTGTTCCCTGATTTGTCTGCTCATGTCTCACAGAATCCACTCCAGCACTTCAAAATGTGAGAATGAGTCTGTTGAGCGTCGTTGAAGCTAAAGCGAAATGCGCCAATTATTTTGATTAATGTCAAAGAAATCGCGTGTCTCGTGCATTTGATGTTTGACTTCTCCAAACCCCTGCATCTGCGGGGACCATGAAAGCACTCCCGGTATTCCTACCAATCTGACGGCTTGCTGGCTCATTTCTGGCACGAAAGCAGCGACTCCCCAGTGATTACGGACGGATGCTGGTAATCTTTGATCTGTCTTTTGCGAAAGTAAAAACAGTAGCCGGAGACGGATCGAAACCGTATTGAGACGAATGTTCAGACCTTCATCGTCATGGGATGACTATGAAAATGACGATGAGTAGGCGTTTATGGACAAACCATTGGGCCTACTTAAATGAGTCTGACCTGTCGGTGGCTCATGATTGTCGAGGAGGCAAACAGTCAGTAGCGCGCAGCTTCCTGCCAAACATATGATTACTGATTCTGCAGGGGAGATCTGCACAAAGCACATCATGTCCCTGGGCCCAATTTTTCCAATATCACGACACATAATTATATGCTTTGGGTTACGGGTACTAAGGGTTTGCAAATCGTAATATGACCTGAATAATAGAAGACAATCAATGTTATCGTCCACAGTTTTTTTGGTACTCGCCGCTGTTCCCGCTGTCTGGCATCTATCAGCTCCAACGAACTCGTAATGCGCGCCCGGAACCTGGTCTTTCACGTCAATTGCTTTTGCTGCACCGTTTGCCATTCGCCATTGACAAAGGGCGACCAATACGGCATCATCGACGCGCTCATATACTGCAGGTAAGCCGCTCCTAGTCCGTACAGGCTTCGCCACTACTAAAGATCACACGCAGGACCCATTACAGTATAGCGAGGGAGGGCGACGCCGCCTCATCCAGCATGAGCGCCAGCTACCCGTACAGCGCACAATTCGGCTCGCCGCACAACGAATCCTCGAGCCCGCACTCGGATCCTAGTCGGAGCATTGTTCCTACGGGCATCTTCGTGCCCGCGTCCCATGTCATCACCGGACTCCCGCAGCCGGCTCGCCAAAAGGGCAGGCCTCGCAAACGCAAGCCCAAGGATATCGAGGCGTTCACCGCAAACATAGGTACGTTGTAAATTCCCAGCATTTTCGCGATCAGGCTGTCGGTCATAAAAGTGCCAACATGCTGTTGGGATCTTTATGACAGCACAGTCGATCTGGAACCACCGCTGAAGCACAAGCAGGCGCCATTGAAGCTGCAGCAACATCAGCTTTTATGTGCCTGCCTCATAAAACTCGGAAGACGCTTTAAAAATCGAAAAACTACAAGGCTCTTCGGATTGATTGCAGATCTCAACACTGAGTACGTCGACTTCGGACGGGGCTCCCACTTGAGCTCCTCGTCGCGCACCAAGCGAATGCGCACATCGTTTAAGCATCACCAGCTGCGGACCATGAAGTCCTACTTTGCCATTAATCACAACCCCGACGCCAAGGATCTGAAGCAGTTGTCACAGAAAACAGGTTTACCAAAGAGAGTACTACAGGTGAGTGATCCCCTCCGCACTCAGCTTCTTTGACCCAACCATCCCAACTGATGAAAGTCGCTTACTGGATATTTTTTTTCTCTGTAGGTATGGTTTCAAAATGCACGGGCCAAGTGGCGACGAATGATGATGAAGCAGGATGGAAGCGGTTTGCTGGAGAAGGGTGACGGCGCTCTGGATCTCGACAGCATCTCAGTACATAGTCCTACGTCGTTTATATTAGGCGGCCCAAATAATACACCGCCACTCAACCTGGACTAACGGCTGCTTAGGAAGAGCGGAAACGGGATGGTAGTGTGAAACGAACATGGCGCTGCACTCAACTTCCACATTATACGTCCGATCCGGGTGGAGTTCCGAAACTGAGAACTCTTGAATAGTCGCATTGGATAGGAATAAAATCGGGAATCAGCGTTCCACTCAATACCGAATTGATTTGATGAATGCATACGTATTATGCCTAGAGAATGTTGTTTGATAAGCTGCCTAGCTGTTGAAATTCGCGTAAATTATGTATTTTTGTAGTTGCTTCTAGGCCATTGCCAGTACCTCACAGTTGGTTCTTGCCTCCCATGGTGTTTCTATAGATCTATCGTTCACTTGTAAATATGTACTTGATTCGTATGGGTTATAGACTTACGTAGACACACAATTATTGTTAATATATTCTTATTATTTTAAGCAATCACATCACTATTTATTTACATAAAGTGCATATATCTACTTAAAATTATATGCATGTACGTATTTATATGTATCTAATATTTATTGCCCAAAATTAATAGTTAGAGATGAATTTAGTTTAGCGAGAGCAGCCGTAACAAAATAGCGGATATGTACATGTATTATTACGAAAAAATAATAGCTTCGCCTACGCCAACAGACAGGGATTTAAGAGCTATCAAAACGAAACTGTCATTAAGTTATGAAAACGACGTGTTACCGTGAACACGACGTGAACACAGAGAGATTTATACTTACATATAGTTTAACCATAAGTCTTACCATAGAAGCCAAATAAAAATCATTTAAACCATCAATCCATATGTTTTCAGCTTATCTGTTTTGTTTAAATAAATCTGCTATGGGAATTTAAAAACCGCTCGTATCAACGCAAACTAGTCTCTTATTTATAAAGCTATAAAAATGAAATTTTTTTTTAAAAGTCTTCTTTCTATTGCTAGCTTGTACCTATTTTAACATCTGTTATTATATTTTATATTATATTAATTTTTTTTCTGTCCACCCTATTGAGCCCGCTTTCTGTAATTGGAATGATATGCAAGAAAATATCATCAATTATAATGTTATGAAAGGAAAATGCAATGAAAGAGCTTTTGCTTACTAGTCTTTAAAAGCAGCGCAGTAAAAAATAAATATAAAAACATAACATTTCCATAAAAATCATAAACATATAAATACTTTGTAGGGGATTTGTACTTCCAATGTTTGATGTTCCAAGACATTAACTCACTAGGCTAACATTTTAGAAAATTCTTTTCTATTTATAGGGGATTTTTCTAGCCATAAGTAATATGGACTGTTTATAAAAAAATGTCTATATTATAGAAAAGTAGATTTCCAGGATTGCTAAAATATATTTAAACTAAAAGGAGTTTTTCTTAATTTTAGAAGAGAATAGTGTATATATTTTCTAAAAGCAATGGCGATTTTACTTATAAATATAGAAAATTGGGAAGAGGCAGCTTAGAAAAAAACACATTAAATTTAAGAAAATTTAAAAAATATTTCTATAGTTTAGCAAATATTTTCTACAAATTCTTTATTTATACCCTTGCAACCTTTGTAACTCAGAAAAGTAGACATTTCCGACCCTATAAAGTATATATATATTTGGTCACCATCACTAGGAGAGTCGATCTAGCCATGTCCGTCTGCCCGTCCGTACGCATACTAATCTCTCAGTTTTAAAGCTATCTGCGTGAAAATTTCCCAAAAGCTATCTTCCTGTTGCAGGTAGTATATAAGTCGGAACGAGCCGGATCGATCGACTGTAGAATGTAGCTGCGGCAATCCGAAGTTTATATACCCTTGGAGCTATTGCAAAAATTAAATATTCTCGAAAACATTAAAATTATCTCTTACTTCCGTATATAATTAAAAACTTCGAAGATATGATGATTTGAAGCTTAATTATTCGATAGTTCCCATGGCAACTATATGATATCGTCTTCCGATTTTAAATTATAAACAAGTCAAAAAGAATTAAAAAAAAAAAAGAAAAAACAGAAAAGTTACATTTAAAAAAAAAACAATTGTTTTTATATATTTTTATTGTTTCCCTGGGAGCTATATGATATAGTTGTCCGATTTTGATGAAATTTAAACCGTAATTCTGAAATATTAAACCATTACTATATGTCGAAGATCTAAAAAAAAATTAAAAAAGCAGCAAAGTTATAATTTTTTAAATTTATTTTTCCAATTGCTCCTAAGGGTGCTATATGATATAGTCGTTTGATTTTAATAAAATTTAAACCGTAATTCTGAAATATTAAACCATTACTATATGTCGAAGAACTAAAAAAAAATTAAACAAGAAAGAAAGCAAATTTCGGCAAGCCGAAGTTCATATACCCTTGCAGCTATTGCAAGAATTAAATACTTTTGAAAACATAAAAATTATGATTTAATTGCGTGTATGTTGAAAAACATTGAAGCTACGATGATTTGCAGCTTAAATATTAGATAGTTATCTTATATATTTTTATTATTTCTATGGGAGCTATGCGATATAGTCGTCCGATTTTGATGAAATTTTAACCGTAATTCTGAAATAATTACCCAATACTATATGTCGAAGAACTAAGAAAAAAATTTACAAACAGCTAAGTTATAATTTTTGTTTATTTTTTTCGATTGTTTCTATGGAAGCTATATGATATAGTCGTCCGATTTTGATTAAATTTAAACCGTAATTCTGAAATAATTAACCAATACTATATTTCGAAGAACTAAGAAAAAAATTAAAGAACAGCTAAGTTATAATTTTTTTTTTCATTTTTTCCCGATTGTTCCAATGGGAGCTATATGATATAGTCGTCCGATTTTGATGAAATAATAAACCATTATTATATGTCGAAGAACTAAAAAAAAAATGAAAAACAGCAAAGTTATAATTTTTTTTATTTATTTTTCCGATTGTTCCTATGAGAGCTATATGCTATAGTCGTCCGATCCGGCTCGTTCCGACTTATATACTACCTGTAATAGAAAAACAACTTTTGGTAAAGTTTCATGCAGATAGCTTTAAAACTGAAAGACTAGTTTGTGTAGAAACGGACGGACAGACGGACGGACAGACGGACGGACGGACGGACAGACGGACAGACGGACATGGCTAGATCGACTCTGCAGAGGGTATTATAATTTCAGTCATAAGTTTTCAACGCAGTGAAGGAGACATTTCCCACCCTATAAAGTATATATATACTTGATCAGCATCACTAGGGGAGTCGATCTAGTCATGTCCGTCTGCCCATCTGACCGTCTGTCCGTCCGTCTGTCCGACCGATTCTACGCAAACTAGTCTCTCAGTTTTAAAGCTATCTGCATAACACTTTCCCAAAAGTTGTATTTTTATTGCAAGTAGTATATAGTCGGAACGAGTCGGATCGGACGACCATAATTTTTAATTTTTTTCCGTCTGCCTATCTGTCCGTCTGTCCGACCGATTCTACGCAAACTAGTCTCTCAGTTTTATAGCTATCTGCATAACACTTTTCCAAAAGTTATATTTTTATTGCAAGTAGTATATAGTCGGAACGAGTCGGATCGGACGACCATAGCATATAGCTCCCATAGGAACAATCGGGAAAAAATTATAACATTGCTGTTTTTTTAATTTTTTTCGAAATTATTTTTAATAATTTGACAGTTCAGAATTACGCTTTTAATTTTATTAAAATCGGAAAATGATATCATATATCTGCCATAGGAACTCAAATAATTGAGCTGCAAATCATCACAGCTTCAATGCTTTTAAACATACACGCAAGTTTTCAAGAATATTTAATTTTTGCAATAGCTGCAAGGGTATATGAACTTCGGTTTGCCGAAGTTTGCTACCCTTCTAGTTTTTATTTATTTTTCCGATTGTTTCAATGGAAGCTATATGCTATAGTCGTCCGATCCGGCTCGTTCCGACTTATGTACTACCTGCAATAGAAAGACAACTTTTTTAAAAGTTTTATGCAGATAGCTTTAAAACTGAGAGACTAGTTTGCGTTGAAACGGACGGACAGACGGACGGACAGACGAAAATGGCTAGACCGACTCGCCTAGTGATGCTGATCAAGAATATATAACTTTATAAGGTCGGAAATGTCTCCTTCACTGCGTTGCAAACTTCTGACTGAAATTATAATAAAGTGAGGATATTATAATTTTGGTCAGAAGTTTGTAAAACAGTGAAGGATCAATAAAGAGTCGACATAGCCATCCGTCCGTCTGTCTGTTTGCGAGCTCAGTTTAAAAGCTTGCGATCTGAAACTTTTTCACAGTCGTCCTAAAACAAGTGGACGCAGATCCAGTTAGAAAAGCGCCCCGATCGGAGGTCTATATCCTACAGCTTCCACAGGAACAATCGGATATAAATTTCAAAAATTAAAGGCTATTGACATGAATCATCCCAAATCGTACTTTTTGTGCATACCTTAATCAGGGTAAAAGCGCGTGCCGATCGGACGTCTATAACCTAAAGCTCCCATAGAAACAATATGGTGAAATCGCTTAAAATGTTATACCTTTAAGTTATTTCGCGTATATAAGCTATTTAGGCAAGGTCTGCAAGGTTAGTAAAACTTCGGCTTGCCGAAGCTAGCTTCCGTCCTCGTTTTTTTCTATTTTTTGGCACTTTAAAGTGAACAGCGCGATCTTAGATAAAAAAAAAATAAAATTGAAAAAAAGCTTTAGTGATAAACTGCTGATTTATGTGAAGAATTAACGTTCAAATTTTCAAAAGGATCGTTTTAAAAGATATTCCATTCTGATGTTCACAAACTGAAACAAATACGTTTTTCGGAAAATCGATATAAAGTTTTCAATACGTGAACAATCTGGTAGCACGGCCTGTCGTTTGAAATGCTGCTACTTCATTAGTTTTGCTGGGATTGACTTGAAAATGTACAGAATATTCTCAACACTGCTAATTCAGAAACTAATATACAAAATTTTGAAAAAAACCCTACCCGCCCCCTAAAGCGGAACCCCTGCATTTTTTTCATGTGTTATGAAGTTTTGTGACGAAAAATGAATAAGTATTCGACTAAATAAATACACTTTTTAAATTTTTACATTCGGATCGCTTCATCCAGGTTTTTTCCGCGATAAGAATGGGAACATTTAAAAAGTGTGTTTATTTAGTCGAATGCTATTAATTTATCGTCACAAAATTTGATATCAGATATTTTATAATTACTATTCGCTAAAACGTGTTTTTGTTTGATATCAGAAGTTTTTGTTTGAACCCCAATACTGTGACCATGGTTTTTACAAAAACAAACAAAAAAAAAAACTTCAGTACTTATTTTGTTTTAAAAAACTACGTTTGACAAAACTTTAACGCTTAACTAATAAGAAAGGAAGCAAACTTCGGCAAGTCCAAGCTTATTTACCCTTGCAAATATTTTGATTTTTATGCTTTTATGCTTTTATGTTTTACAATTACCTTTTTGATATTGAGGTCTGATTTAAATAAAATTTTAATCGTAATCCGAAACCAAATTATAAATCATTACTTTGTATGTAAGTATATTCAAAACAACAACAAATAATATAAATTAAAATTTAATATGTTTTCCTGATTGTTTTAATGGGAGCTGTATGATATAGTCGTCCGATTCGGCTCGTTTCAACTTCTACTAATAGTTTAAAATTGATGGGCCAGTTTGCGTAGAAACAAGTGGACAAACAATCGGACATGGCCAGATCGACTAATGATTCTGTTAGGGTCGGGAATGTGTCCTTCTGACAGAATTAAAATAATATTTATTTATTTAATGAAAATGTTTCTTCCCTT